GTATGGTAAGAGGAATCTTGGACACACCTCCTCAGAAGCCCCCACCTTGGAAAGGCCCAGGAGAGTCCCAGGGGACAAAGCCAGTTCTAGTTCAAGCCCCAGGGGGAAAGGGTGTGTTCACATGGCCTCCACTCCCAGATCAAGTGGTGACATCCAGAGCATCAAGGATGCAGCCCTCAGACTGCCGCTAGTCTGGATGAACATCACATGCTGGCTGCGATGTGATCCATCTCAATCACAACAGTAAGAGACAGAGGATGTGTGGCCAAACCTAGTGAGGAGTTAAGAGAGTTCATCTTCCTGGGCTTCCTCCAGGCAGTGCCCATCACACACGGTGAGAAAGTATGTGCTGGGTGGCTGGCTGGTCAAGGGGTCAAGGATTCCAGGACCCCACCAATTGCTATCATGTCTTGTGCACATACCTGGAATTAGATATTAGCTTAAACGCCACACCTAAACTACCTTTAATATTTAATACCCTATGAAATACGTTCCCATTTTATAGTAAGAGGAATCGAGGTTCAGAGCCATTAACCAAGTTATTCAGCACCGCTAATGTACATCAGTGGCCACACTCAGGTCTGTTTGCTGCTAAGTCAGCACGGTAAAGGACTGCCTTTTATGCTCCTCCTAATCTCACTGTCTCATTCTAATAGTAAAAATGAATGAAACAATACAAAAAATTTAATCTTCATTCCTTGTCATTTTTGTATTTCATCCTTACCCTTAGATTCACATTATGAAATGCAATTGGTTGCAGTCCTTTTTATGAACCATTTCCATTTCCTTATTAGCACATTTATTTTGTTCACTTTTCTGATGAAAGAGAATTGTTTTGAATTCTGCATCCTAATACTAAATTTCAGCTTTTAAAGATGAATAAGTAAAAGCTTCCATCTCAGTCATTCCTTTTTTCAAATTCACCATTGACTATTTCACCTCTTCCCTTGGAGTTCTGGGAAAGGGAGATGGCATCATGGCTTCAGGTTGTGAGCAAGGAGGTGTCCCTTCAAGCATGGGTCTCGCCCCCTGTGTGGGGGCTCCATTCTTGCTGCAGACCCTCTGTGCAATGTGTGCTGAGTTCTGTTCTTGCACATAAAAGCACCATGAAGGATCACACCACCCTCAAGAGCCCTTAAAGAAAATGCAGTCCCAAGAATAATGCAGCTTCTTGTTCCCTCGGCTGAATTCACCACGCAGTCCTTTTATTCTCTAGTCAGACCACCACTGGGGGTGAACAAGAGTCCTATGAATCAAGGCTCCTCTGTGGTCCAGTTGCTGCCATGAATGTAGACCATGTTTCATTCTCTGAATAGGAGTTTCTTCTTCCTTCGTTCAGCACTTACTCACCACCACCACGCGCGCCCCACCCAGTGTGGGATCATTGTTAGTATGCTCCGGGCTTCAACAAGTTAGTGCAGCATGTAACAGTAATTCTTATAATTAGGCTTTTTTAAGCCATAAATTTGCTTGAAAGCCTTACTTTACATTTCATAAGGGAAGCTCTGTCCTGCACTTAGATCAGGTAGGGAGACATCAAATTTTTGAATGATGGTCAAGGGACACATGCCCATCCTTGAACTGACTCAGGAGTGGACACACAGCTGTGCAGCTGGGTACTGGCAACTCCAGGAAGCTCCATGCATGTTGGCTTCATGCAACTAGCGCCCTGTGGAGTTGGCAGTGGGGTACCCTGAAGGTAAGTTTGGACGAGCAGGTCATGAAAGCTCCTTTGAAGAGAACTGAATGACTCCTGAGGACTGCAATTACAAATTAGTGCGGCAAAATAGTGCAGGACTAACGAGTATGAAGCCTACTGCCAGATTGTTATGAGTTCAAATCCTGGTTTATCTGTGCGAACTTTTGGGCAAGTTACTGAACTCCTTTAGGACCTGGGCTTGTCATCCGTAAATAGAGTTAATAGAAATACCTACCATAAAGGGTTATTAGAAGGATTAAGTAAATTATTCTTTATAAAACACAAAGACACAGCTTAATACATAGTATAAGTCTTTGTTACAAAAATTAAAAACATTTGATTGATCTTCTGTTGACGCTTAGTAAAATGAGATTGGAATCTCATGAACAAGAGTGTCAATATTTTCCCTCTCTCTTCTCAATTATTGCCATAATTATCGTTACTGGAATGCTATGTTACTTTAAATTAGAAACATAATTTGAATAATGTTTTACACATTTGTGAATACTTGCATACTCCACAGACCTTTAAAAAGAGAATGAAAACAAAATTAAACTCTATTCCAAATATAGAGATACACATGTGCAAGGAAGTTCTTTGCTGCGCTGTTCCTAATAAAAATTGGAAACAACTTAGATGTCTACAGGGGCCGACCGGATAAATTGTGGCATGTTCATAAAATGTGATTACGTATCATTTAAAATAGATTACATTTATTCTCTACATGATAGCGATACATTTCTAGAACAGTGTTAAGCATAAAGAATGACATGTACAGTATATACAATAAACTTTCATTTAAGGTTTAAATACACCCATATATAGAAAATGTATAACAAACACATGACCATGAAGGATACACAATATCAAGATGGTGATCTGAGGAAGGAGGGAAGGAATTGGAATCTGGCAGGAGCAGAAAGGGGGCTTTAATTTCATCTGTAACATTTTCTTTCTCAAAAAAAATTTTGAAACAAACATGGCAAAATTTTAACATTTATTAAATCAGGTTGGAGGTGACCTTGTTACATCATTCTGTATTCTTTTTATTTATATTTGAACATACTGATAATAAAATAATAAGAGAATCTACTTAAATGCCAAATTCTAATGTTTCCACCCATGGATTTTATTACTCCTCCTAGTTAATTAAAAAATTTTTTTGTCTTCAAAACATTAACGTATCACCAATTGTGCTGGTGTTTTTGTGGATGGCCCTGTTTCATGAGAGCACTTTGGCACAAGGGCTCTAAAGAATATATTTTCATTATTCTGGAAAGAATTTTAATGACCTGTTGTACCTCAGTGTTAATGAGAGTCATGTAGATAAATCCCTAAGCAGTTCTCTTAGGGGCTGCATTTTTTGCTCAGCCAAAAATAAAAAAGCGCTTTCTTGCCTGCCTGCATAACTGTGCTAAGCAAGCATGTTGCACGTTTTCAGGTGCTTAAAGTGAAACAATGTGGAGGCATGTGTTTTCTGTGTTTTGCTTGCAGACTTCTTCACCAGAACAGCAACTGTTCATTTGTGTGTTTTTTTAAATTGAAGTACTGTCAATTTACAATGTTATGTTAATTTCTGGGGTACAGCTTAGTGATTCAGTTATATACATACTCATTTTCACATTTTTTTCACTATAGGTATTGAATATAGTTCCTTGTGCTGTAGAGTAGGACCTTGTTGTTTACTTTATATATAGTAGTTAGTATCTACAAATCCTGAACTCCCATTTTATCCTCCCCATCCAAATCATTCCTTTGAATCTATATAACTTTGACTATGTTATTGACTGGGGAAATAAACAGCACTGTGACCCAGATTTTCAGCATCACATATTGAGATGTAACTGGTGTACTCTGAGTTTGGCAATTCTCTATTCGTTGTGTGAATTAACTGGGACAATGACTTGTGACTTTAGAATTGCAGCTTTGCAATTAAATATGCCATTGACCTTTTTGTGTCCTATGTACAGAGTATTATGTTTAAAATGATCACCAAATTAATTTATGTCAGATGTTATCTACATTCCAACTAGAAAACAATTTTTATTATCTGGAGCATGAATGTTTAGAGTAGATATATTTTAAATATTTCAATTGCAATGTTAACATGCTGAGGTTACTAAGCATGAAATGTGTTCATAGATTCTTTGTTATTGACTGCTCACCATGCACTGTTGGATACTAGAGATAAAGTGATGACCAATACAGTGCCACTGTCTCCAAACTGGTAATAATCTAACGAGTAATAGAATCAAGGAAACAGGGAGTTAAGTACTATACATGTGGCATAAGAAAGTGTGTTAAAGGAGCACTTAGGAGGGAAACCCAACTGAGTATAGGAAGATCAAAGTGAGAGATCAAGGAAGGCTTCCTGGTGGTGGTGTCTGTGCTGATTGATCATATGAAGGCTGGGGGAAGAATAGTTCATGTGGATAAATCAACACATAGAAAAGCAAGAGAAAGCATACTTCGGGCCAAATGTTTGGATTGTTTCTTTGGTATCGAGAGTTACTGTTCACTCAGGGTTTCTGCATATCCCACATCCTCTAAGAATACCTCACAGGCTGGCCCCAGAGAACTGTTATTATTAATAATCATATTGCCCCACTTTGAGGAAAGATATACTTCAGGCTTGATAATAAGGATGAAAAACTAAGCGATTCAAAGTCTGTTCTGATGCTACCAGCTTAAGAGGCGAGGTGGTGAAGATTCGGTTGTTGGCAGCATGACGACCACGGCCTCCAGCACTGTTCTCCATCTCAGGGTGGCCCCAGCCTCCTCTCCCTGCCCACCACCCGAACACCACCTGATGTTCCCTCAGAGCTGAGCCAGCCCTCAGGATGGCACCCAGAGCCTTCCTGCAGACATGCTGCTGAGAATAAGCTTTTTTGTCCATTTGATTACCCTCCTTTCATTTTTGTCTGTTTTACCGCAATCCTAAAGTTGAGGGCAATTTCGATCTCAGGTGTTTATGCAGCCTTCCTAGTGCACCTTTCCTTTTCTTTTTACTTAATGTAATTTTTGTCTTCAAATGTTCCTGAGAAAATGTGTCGCATTATGGACTAAAAACCTGTCCAGTCTTACTCTACCATAGGAACTAATCTGAAGCACCAATACCTACCAGGAAGACTATTAACCTGAGTGAAAACGTATCATTCTTTGACGTATTGATTCATTTGTTCAATTAATTTGATAAGGAACAGTAAAAAATGGAGTACTATAATATTTTAGAGTCCTTTTAATATACAGTTTCTCATGTGTTCAGAACTTAATTCATTTCTTCTTAACTTGGTTAACACAGGAGAAGAAAACCTCCTGGCGATTTTACGACGAAGATGGTGGAAGTATATGATCCTGGGCCTCATAGACTTGGAAGCAAATTACCTGGTGGTCAAGGCTTACCAGTACACCACTCTGACCAGTATCCAGGTACCGGATACACTCCTGTCCGTCTCATCTTCCTCATTTTCCCCGTGCGGTTTACTTTCAGTTAGTCACTTGGGAATCTGAATACAGGCCTGTAACTTTTGCAGCGAGAGGGAAATCAGCTGTGTAAAAATGAACTTGAACTTTATTTCTATGCCCTTTTAATTTTTCTTAATTCAAGTATAATTGGACATCTCTTTCTTCTTTGTTCCAAGTATATACCTGAAGACCCGTTGACAATGTGGGAAAATAATTTGTAACTAAAACTACTGCTTACTAGTCTTATGTCAGTAGGAGAATCAGTAATAAGCATAAAAGTAAATCTATTTTAAGCACAACTTACAATGTTTTAGAATATGTTAATGGACTTTGATTAAGTAATCAAAGTGCTTAAGAATCTTTTCTATTAGCTTTCCTTAATGTGTAGATTTTGAAACTTGAAGGGACAAAATTTTTCCTAAAAGGACAAGATTTAAGTTTCTAAAATGTGTTAGGCATAAAGATAGCCACTACATCTTTCCTCCCTCCTTCTCTTTTTCTTCTATGCCATTGTACACACACACACACACACACACACACACACACACACACACACACAATTGCAAATTTAACCTAAGTTTTCACGATTTTCACCAAACACCACTTATATTTCTCATCAAGCCATAGTAATAGTCTTGGCTATTCTGTTTCACCCTTACTTTTCTTTTTATGGCAATATTAGGAATTTTATAATCATTACAGAGCTCCAGGATGGATACAGAACATTGTTCACTTATCGGATTTTACTTAGATTCGATACCTCAACATTACTGCCACTCCAATAATTTGCTTAGAAACAACAATAACAAAAAATGAAGAAACAAAATAAAAAGCTTTCCAATGTCTCTTAAACAATAACTGATTACACTGGGAAGAACAAAAAAAAAATGAAGAAACAAACAAGTAAACAAACCACTTGAGAAAATTCAGATTATATAGATTGAATGGGAAGCTATCTAAATCAGATTTAGATGGGGCTCCATGCTTCTTCCTGCATACCCAATGAGAGACAGAAAGGATGCTTGCCTACAACCATTGAATAGAAGTCCATAGTTCTATTTGGTTGGCCCACACTGTTGGGAGGGGAATGCTATCTGATAATTGACTTAGATTTGGACTTTCTGGACCAATACAGGATGAGATTTCTCTGACTTGTTTAGACAAATGTTTCTCAGCAGGGGAACTCCTGGCATTTTAGGTAGGAAAAATTTTCATGATGTAAGTCCATTTCCGACCTTGTAAGTCACTTAAGATTTCTGGTCCCTACCCGCTAAATCCCAGTAGCATTTTTCAGCCTTTGTAACAACTAAAAGTGTCCCCATGGATTCCCAAATGCTCTCTAGCAGAGAGGTATCATCTCTGGGTGAGAATCACTAGCTCACTGGTCAGCACTCACTCCCACCAAATCATGTATCTGTCACCTGTTAAGGGAGACGTGAGGTAGACAGATGCTGGGAGAACCAGAATGCTCTGCACCCAGCCTGGCTCCCACTCACTTCAACAAGCCCCACAATGACAACAGATTTCTCCCTCTGTCTCTCTCCTGTGCTCCCATGGCACTTTGTTTTGTAGCTCTGTCTTCAGTCTGTCTTACCTAAGAATGATGTTTGACTGTTTCCACCTACTTCACCAAGTTGAGAGCGTTTGCACAGCAAGGATGATTTACTGTTCACCTTTGAATCTCTAGTACCTGCTAGGAGACCAAGCACATACTAGGTACTCAATAAATGTTTAAAGAAGTTAATTAAATTACACTGATTTCCGGTATTTGGGGGGACAGAAATTCCCAGCAGTTATACCCAAAGAGTAGAGAACTCTCTCTCCTTGGCTGAGGCCCCTGAAATGTCTATACAGGGATATTGAAAGAAGAAAGAGAGGAATGTTGGCTTCATGGCAACCTGAACCCACTGGCTCAGAGCCAAAAACTATAAATGGCCTAGGGGAGAATGAAGAGGAAACTACCCCCTTAGGAAATCTAGTTGACTTTTATTTTCTTTTGTTAAGCATTAAAAAGTCACAACCACTTGCTGGTTGCATAAGTTCTATGGGGTTTTAGTAAAGTTTTTTTCAATTTATTTGATTTTTTTTTCTGATAAACAGTAACAATTTTTTTCTTAACAGCTGTCCCCTTGTCCTCAATTTTTTTTCAGCCCATGTTATACACCACTACTAATCCATCTTGCCACCTCCCTCAAATTAGCTGTTTGACATCCCATTTGATGCTGCATTCTATGAAAAGTTTATTTTAATTCTGTTGAAAGATAGTAAAATAATAATTCTACTGAAATATCAGTTGGTCTTCATTATAATTTATTGAGCAAGGGGATGGGGGAAGTAAAAAAGCAAGTCGAATCTAACAGTTCCAGAACCATTTTGCTACCTACAAAAAGATAAGTCTATTAATTAAATGGTCAGAATAGAAAGCATTTGCTCTGGGAACCATATCTGTATTGCTGTTTTGTAATTTAATTCTGTTTACTCATTGTAAATCAGTGGAACTAACAAGGACCTATAATGACTCTCCCTAGTTTCTATTAATATTAATTCAGCCTTTAGCTTTTATTCATATTAATCAATAAGGAAAGTACATTAATTAAGCATCTAAGAATGCGCTAGTTATTGCAGGCGACGTAACAGGAAATGAATCAACCTTGCCCTCCAGGAGCTTATGAACTTGTAAAGGGGACGAGAGGTTCAGTCTATTGATAGTAACATCACGTAGGGCGAAAGAAGGGACGCCTAAGTGCTACAGTGTTCAAAGGAGACAGAGATGATGTTTATTTGCAAAGGCAAGAAAGAACCCATTCAGATGAGTCTGTAAGACTGGATAAAATGTAGAGAGGATAAAATGTAGGTATAGTTTTGCACCTGGAGTGGAGAGCACGATGAAAGCCCAGGGGCAGGAAACTTGAGGAATATGATTGGAGAACAGTCATTCCAGTTTGATTCATCCAGTCACTTAGAAAATAAGTACTGAATACATCTGTGTTCAGGACAGCATATTAGGTAATGAGCAGTTGTGAGCAAAAATAGATACTTTCTGTATTTTCATGGAGCTTTCAGGGAGATGGGAAAGGCAGCCTTTGGTCAAATAACCAAATGCATGGGTAGATCGTTATCGGCAGGGATAAGTGTTCTAAAAGAAAGCGACAGAATTCTACAAAAACATTTGTCAAAACAACCTGACCTAAACTGGAAGTTTGGGGAAGATCTCAGCACTGGTGATGGAGCTGAGATCTACAAGAGAAACGGAAGAATAGCTGGAAGGGAAAGAGGTCCCAGCAAAGAGGACCACATGCTTAAGTCTCCGTGGTGGGAAGGACTGAGGCAAGAACAAGGTTGTGGGCAAGGAGGATGAAGAAAAGAGTGACACAAGATGGGCTGGGGAAGGAGGCAGGGGCCAGACTCTCCAAGGCTTGACATCCAGGTCGAGGGTTTGAGTCTATAGGCTGAGAGCCATAGGAAGCCAAATTTGATTTTAAAAAACAATCAGGCTGTGGTGTAGAGAACAAATTGCAGCCGTGGGTGCTCATAAAGGGATAAAGGAAAATAGAGCCAAAAAGTTAAGTTGGGGTCATATTATAGGAGGTCTTCAATGCCAGGATGAGGAGTATGACAGTATGACTTAACTTTGTAAGTAAAAGAGAACCACAAAGTTTTCTGAGGAAAGAAATGATAGGATGTGACCAACAGCCCATTTTCAAATCACTTCTGTTTTAGTAACACGGTTTTCATTACTAGTTGGCAGAGCACCAAATACTTTTGTTTTCTGATTCTCTTAAACACAGCAATGTCGAGCAAAAAGACATGAAGAGACTGTCTGTGCTTTATCCTCTCAACCTTCCAGTTCATTCACTAAACTTGTGGTTAAATGTCACAAACAACTGATACTTGAAGCATGAGAGGAAATATACATATTTTTTGAAATGACTGTAGACTTGCAGGGAATTGCAAAACCATACAGGATTCTTTGAACTGTTCACACAACTTTTCCCAATGGTGATGTTTTATATGACATCAGTATAATGTCAAAACCAGGATACTAACATTGGTGCACTACTGTTAACTAGACTACAGACCTTAATCAGTTTTCGTTCATTTTCCTTCCCTCCTTTAATGTGTGTGTGTGTTTGTGTGTGTGTGCTCATGTAGTTCTACACCATTTGATCCATGATTAGGTTTGTGTAATCACTACCCCAATTAGGGTACAGAACTGTCCCATCACCCGTGAGGTTTTCCCTCATGAAACCCCGATGAAGTCACTTGCATTCCACCACCCTCATCCCTGTTGTCTGGCAATCACTACTCTATTCTCTATGTAGGTTCGTCAGCTAGAGAATGCTGTATAAAATGGAATCATACAGATTTTAACCTTTGGAGATTGACTTTCTCACTAAGCATAATGCCCTTAAGTCCATCCAAATTCTTGTATGTATCAGTAGTTTGTTCCTTTTTATTGCTGAGTAGTGCCCCATGGTAGAAATCTCCTAGAGTTTGACTATCACCTGGTGAAGGACATTTGGGTTGTTTCCAGCTTTGGGTTTTTACAAATAAAGCTGCTATGGCATTCATGTGCAGGTTTTTGTATTTCTCTGGGATTAATGTTCAAAAGTGCAATGGATCACATGGAAAGTGACTATTTGGTTGTAGAAACAGACAAACAACACTTCAGAGTGCCACTGTACCATTTACATTCCCACCAGCAATGTATAAGCGACCCCATTGCTCTCCACCCTCACCAGCATTTGGTGTTACCATTGTTTTTTATTTTAGCCATTCTTAAAGGTGTATGGTGATATTTCACTGTGGTTTTAATTTGTGATTCCCTAATGGCTAATAACATTGAACAGCTTTGGGAAAAAAAATTTTTTTTTAACTTTGCCTTTATATTAGGAAGCTAAGAAAGTTAACAATGGCAAAAGAGATAACATTGATTCAGGGAAAAGATGATGAAAGACATTGAA